GCTCTGCGGCGCCGGAGGCCCTGCGGTGCGGCCGCTCCCTGCAGCGCGGGGGCGTTGCCCAGCCCTCAGCCCCGGGCGAAAGAGCTGCCGCCGCCGAATTTCAATATCCGTGCTGGCAGAGCTGTCTTTCCACTTGGAATTAAGTGCCTCGTGCCCTTGGGCAGAAAAAGAAATTTGTGGAGGTGACCGGAGGCCCCGTGCATCCGGCCGCAAGCTGCGCGCGGGCCACGTGGACCCTCCGGGTGGACTTGAGTGGCATTTGTCAGCGCATCCATTCGTACGGAAGTGACCTAAACATTACTGTGGTTCAACCTCGCGCTTACCATGAAAGGAACAGAGACTCAGAGGAGAGGGACTTGCCAAGGGCCACCCAGCAAGTTAGTGGCGGGGCTGGCAGGCCGCTCCCAAGCCACTGCAGCAAGAAACGCTGTTCTTTACGTTTTCTAAGTAGATGGCCGATAACAATAGGCATACGAAAATGTGTCCTACTTATTAAAACAAGCCAGAGACTCTCGGGGCCGTTAGGGGGAAAGAGATCAGGAGGTAACAGGATCTGTAAAACCGTCGAGCCGGTTCGCCGCCCTTTATCGTATTGGATGGAGCTCATCAATAATAGAAACCTTTCAGCACAAGCTACAACTGGCACGCTTTGAGAGAGAGCTACGTAAATTCCGAGTCACCGAAACTGCTTAAGCACTGAATGCATTTGGCAAAAGCCACGGAAGAAATTAGGAGCCCATAAGAGCGCGCAGTGAATGACTTTGCGGAGGACCGCACCACTGTGGGGGCCCCGACTCGGGACCCACCCCAGACAGCGGCCCCAGGCAGGGACTAGACTTGAAGGAACTTGAGGCACTTGTGTTTTAATTTCATATTTACCACTCACTTTCCCTTGAGGGCAAACTCTAACAGATAGAATGATGTCCCACCCTAGGGTGTGGTTTGTGGCAGGGCTGCTGGTGAGGACTCAAAGTAAAACTGGGCCTGGCCATGCGGGGGGGATCCCGGAGGAGCTCCGGGCTCTAGCCCAGCGCTGCCCCCAACTTGCTGTGTGATATTGGGCTAGTCACCTCTCTGCAGGGCCTCGTTTTCATCATCTGGAAAGCGAACGGGCCGGACTAGATGACCGACAGATTCTTTACAGCTTTACAAAACCATTTGAAATTTTGTAAACCTTCCTTAAAGTTAAGAGCCCAGTGAAATGTTAGACTCAGGAGTTTTTTGAGGACAGGGATTGATTGAATTATACATCTTTGTACCCACGCACCACCCCCTTCCCGCCACCTCACCTCTAGCCCCGGGGCATAGTCGGTGAATACTTGTTGAATGAATGCATGAATGAATGAATGATCTAGCATTCATGGCTTCCTGATCATACAGAAACGGAACAGGGAAAACTTTAGCAGGTAACTGAAGTGTGATTTCATTTGTAAAAGCAGATAATGGGCAACACTCCCTTTTTCTCTTGGGCACCTTGATCAATTTCATTTTTTAACTACTGCTTGAGCAACCACTGGGTGCCAAGTACCAGGGCTGGGGATGCAGAGAGGGGACTTATCTCCACTCTTAAGAAACTTCAGTCTCCCTCAAGCGACGAGAGTAATAAAGGAAAACCCATCAGAGAACATTATAGCCTCAAATACTAAATGGAATATCTTTGGTCACTTCATGGAGAACCCCTTGGTGATGTGATATTTGTCTCCCTCTCTGAAGAAACTTCTTGTCACAACAACAAACAGAGTTTTCTTCACATTCTGAAAGTCTCCTGTGTTCAGGGCAGAGCTCTTGGGGAGCACTGCCCACATTGCCCAGCTCTCTGCCGCACGTCAGTCAGCCATTCTGAGGCAAACGCTGCACGTGCTATGTGGCCTCCTCCTGCCTGAGGGGATGGGATGTCTGGGTGTGTGGGATCCCAGTAGCAGCCTGCGGTGGAGAAAGGATAAGCCAGTCAGAGCCCCTGTCCTTGCTGCTATATGACGTCGGCCACCTCCCTGGCCGTCTGTGAGACTCCATTCCTTCATCTGTAAAGGGGAGAGTTTGGGTGAGATCCAAAGTCCCTTTTAGCTCAGTTCTGTGAATCTATTCTAGATTTTAGAAACATTAAGTGGAAGGTGGAAGCAAGTTCTTGGTTCCAGAAGCTGCATATGTGCGCCACTTACCCCTCTGTCACACACATACACTGGTGTCTCTCCTGCCAACCGTGCCATGTTATACACACAAACTCATGCCCGATGCTTCACGTTCCTCTGGGAAAATGATGCCTTGCCCAGTAGGCCCATCTGACCCAGATAGGGAAGCAAGGGAAGGAGGTGGTGCTGCTGCTTCCTCCCAGAACATTGGTCCTGCCAGCTGCCAGCAACCTTTCTTTGAGAAGCCCTTGGTCGTGGCTCTGGGCAACAGGGCCTGAGTCACAAAACCTGATTGCTAAGCTGGATTCAAAAAGAAAAAATTGGGAGTGACTAAACCCGGCTTTATTCAAATACCAGTTGCCACAGAGTTGATTCCGACTCATGGTGACCCCATGTGTGTCAGAGTAGAACTGTGCTCTGTAGGGTTTTCATGGCTGTGACCTTTCAGAAGTAGATCACCAGGCCTTTCTTCTGAGGTGCCTCTGGGGGGGTTCAGACCATCAACCTTTCAGATAGTAGCCCACTACTTAACTGTTTGTGCCACCCGAGGTCTCTTATTCAGATACATGACGTTTTTTTCTTTCCACATATTTTTTCAGTGGATTTTGTCGTTTTCCTTCAAAACATTTCCCTTAGAGAAGAGAAGAAGATTGTTTCAAAGTGTGTGATGCCTAACACGTGCAAGTTACTCTTACGGAGAGATGAGATTTTGGTGTTTGGTGCAGAAGCAATAAAGGAAGTAAACAAAAACCACACTGGACATGCTCACAAGGTCTGCATCCTTGATTGCTTCACCTAAGCTCTGAGACCACCTCCGATTTTCTTACCCTCAACATGTAGCTTGTTAGGAAGCCTTGGGCATCCCCTCTGCTCTCTGGGTCTCAAGTCTTGTGTAAAATGGGATGGTTGGACTGAATGAAAACTCAGACCCCTGAACTCTGATGTTCTTAGAATCTGACTTCTTTTGCAAATAGAGCTCTGTGTAAGTCCAGTGACCAAATTTTCTGAACCAAAAATGAGGACACGTCTGATGAACGAGGTTTTTTTAAATTGACTGTTAACTTATTTACATAAAGGAGATTATAAAGGTGTAAATATAGTGATTACAAATTTAAGGACTCACCTTTATTGGAAAGAATTAAATAGCATAAAAGACAAGTGTTGGCAAACACTTACGTATCCATTTACACAATATTTGAATATTCGACATCGAGAGCTTCCTATAAAATGGGTTTAAGCGCTGGCTACGGATACAAGGTCATGTTCTGCTGCACCAAATTTCTTCCCAGAAGCATAGGAAGAGTTGACTATGGAGCAAAGTCCATTAGACCCAGCCACATGAGGATCTTGAGAGTCTGAGATCCCGTGACCAGCCACAAGACACTCTGGTCATATGCATCTATTTAACCAAAAGTAGTGTTCCATAGCCCCATAGCTCACCAGTACTCTAGCCTTGCCTTTGAATTGTTTGTACGTGTTTCAAAAAAAAATCCAATCCACCCTCCAAGGCTGAAAGTGTGCCATCTTTGCAGATAATCCAAATAACGTGCCAGAGGTGTTGAAAGCAACTTCCAGAAAGGCCCTGCTTAGGCTCTCTGAGCAATGGTGGCGTCATCAGAGCAGTGGAGCATCTCCAAAGGTATCTGTAGGAAGTAGAAGACACCCATGGGTAAGAGGGAGTCCCAGGATGTTTGTTTTATAAAGCATTCTTGCATCACGGCCCCACCT